TATTGAATCCATTTTTAGGTCAGGGAAATCCAGGAAAGTGCCTCGTTCTGCCTTCTCAGCCTAACATTTTCGGCTTACATGAAGTGGAAAAACTATATTGAATCCATTGTTAGGTCAGAGAAATCCAGGAGAATGCCTCGATGCGCCTTCTCATGGTAAATTACTCGGCTAACATGAAGTGTAAAGACTATATTGAATCCATTCTTAGGTCCCACTTGGTAACACTCTACCTTCAGTGACCCTTGGCCTTATTTTGGGAACTATTAGTAAAAAAAGAAGTTATCTTTTCATATTAGTGTGTAGAAACGTCCCCAGCAAAAAATAGTTTTTCAACTACGTATTAAGTCTGGAAGCGACAGTACGCACCTCATAAAGGATTAAACCCGGACATTTTGTTATTTTGTGAACTTTCGAACAAATTCTTGAAATTCTTAACTTGAACTTTCGGAAACGGACAAAGAAAACACAAAAAGGAAAATATTCAAACATTTGAATGAATAATATTTTAGTTAGATTCATTATGTGAATTAGACTTCTCAATCCAAAATAACATCAAAAAATATGAATCGAGAAAAACTATTTTCTCTTTACTTCTAACATTACATTATTTTACTAGACTAATTTTAAATCTACTTTGGCACATAAACCTATGCCAATTCTATGCCAATTCTATATACAATGATTTTGTAGTGTTTGTAAAAAAAAATTGAAAAGTCCCTATAAATGAAGATTTAGCGAATTTAACAAAAAATTAATGCATTCAAATTGTAACGGCTACTGTATTAGAACATATTATATTAATTAATCAGTTTCAGACAAAATAAAACCGTTTATTATTGATAATTATTAAGAAGATACGATATCCCAACCGAGTTAATCTCAACTCAACTTGAATTAGCTTATGATTTATGGAGAAAGGTCAAATTTACACAACATTTAAAACATATATCAAATTATTAATCTGCAAAATTCTAGCCTTTAAGCATATGTAATTATTAAACATTTTGTACTCTTTAACAGGCTTTAGAATTGAGCTGAGCATTTTTCTGTTGCATATTCTTGTTTATTTTATGCCCACTTCAACTTCCGTACGCCAAGTATAATTAATAGACAACGTATCAGGTAAACAGGTTGCGTAGAATCCGAATAGCAGACGGAGTAAGAAGAGTCATTAAGAAATCTTCCTAGCTCTAGTCTATTTGCTGTTGTAGAAAAACTGTCTTCGTATGAAGAAAATGAAAATAAATGCCATATTTGACGGCATATAAGGCGCACTTTTTTTTTTACTAAAAATATCTTTTAAAATTCCCCTGCGTCTTATATGCCATATGTTAATTTAAAATTCGTGATAGTCGGCCGAAATTAGCTACCTGCCAACACCTATGAGCTTAGACTTAAACATGAAGGAGTAATGGAACATATGGATGGCAATACCTCATCACGACTTTACACTTACAGGAAGAATAAAAATACCCAACATTGCACCTCTGCGAATTGGTGAAGCAAGCTTGGAATAATATTAGACCAGAAATTGTTGTGAAATCTTTTACAAACTGTGGCATTAGCAATGCTCTCAATGGAACGGAAGATGACGCATTATTTAACGACGATGATAATAGTATTGAAAATGAGTATCAGAGTTTTGATAACGAAGACGACGAATTTTATAGATTTGAAGATTAATAAAATTTTAATGGCAACTGTACTGTTTTGCTCAATTGTAATAATTGCGTGATTTTTATTTTGTTTTCTTACCTTTGGATATAATAAAGTTTTTATAGGCTCATGTTCTTTTTTCCTATTATTTTTCGTTTAATTGTAATTATGGCTTGTTTAACCAAAATAATACCTCATAATTATAGCCTAGGCTGTACCATTTACTAATAATTTTACTAATTTTACTAATTGCTAATTTTTTCTTGATTTTCTCTGCTGAAATTGGGGTGCGTCTTATATGCCGTCAATATCTCTACTGAGATCAACTTTATGGAGAAAGATTAAAAATTACACAGATGTTTCAAATTATTAATCTACAAAGTTTCTTCTTTTAAGCATGTAAGGGCATTAAATTATTAGAAATTTTATAATCTTTAAGTAGCACACCTGAGCATTTTTTCTATTAAATGTTTGCATGCATTTTGTGTCTACTACTACAACTACTACTCTGTCTGTATGCCAGGTAAGAATAAAAGGACAACATATTAAATAGACAGTCCATGTGATAATCTGAGTAGCAGCTAGATGTAAAAGTCAGAGTTGAAGGTGTCATTAAGAAATCTTCCTGCGTCGAGTATATTCTCTGTATTTATAAGAAGAAAATGAAGAAGAAAAAAAGAAAAAACAATTTTCACAAAATATGCCAACAGCGTTTTCTCAATTAAAGAATTTTGGATTTACACTATCTACTTTCTTTTTTTCTTTTCCCTTTTCTTTGTGGATGAGTTGAATATTTTGACATGGTCAAGTTCCAAGCTCAAATTTTCACCGTCAACACTTTTCACGATTTTGACTAAATTCTTTATTGTCTGTCTTATTGTACTCACGTACAGAAAGCCTTATTGCAACACCAACCGCTAGATTGATTGATTTGTTTTTTACGGTTTATCAACTTTTTGCAGGTTATTTAAAGCCTGAAAATATTTTTAGGTAGTAAGAAAGTTTTGGATATTATAATGGTTTACTGATGTATTTTGTATAATAATGTTTTACTAATTAACCCATAGCTGAGGGAGACAAAGTGGATTCATATCTTTCCCAAGGGTAATTGCGCGCAAGTGAATAAACATAACGAACGCTACTGGAATTGGAACTCGACCCCCTGATTTCAATAACGAGCCATTATCCATTACGCCGCCCGCACATCCAAGATTACTGCACCTGGTCTTTCCAAGCGATCACCCATCTAGGTGATGGCTATATTTGACGTTGCTTACCTTCGGCAATCACACGAGAACCGGTGTTTCGACGTGATATGGCCGTAAGCCACCAACTGCTAGAATGCACACGCATACACATATATACTTAATTACCATCCATCATCCATCGCCGATCGGACGCTGAACTATCACCAATCAAAATGAGTAGATGTTCCCTCAGAAAGGGAACATCTACTCGTAGATGTGCCTTGTGAGTCTGTTGGGCCTTAAACTCAACCCAAACTTCGTGGAGCTCGAACATAGGATCTATCGCTAAAGATGCTGGGGAAAAAAATGGTCCGTTCTCTGTACCGCAGCAGTAAGTACTGGACTCCTCCTGCTATCTTCTACTTTTACAATAGCCAGATTAAGCTTATAATGAATGGCTGGCCACTCGTATTCGAGGATAACCATCTACTAGGGCGGCTAGCTAATCCCTATTGCAGACGCTTGCTCAGGCTCATTTTGTGTTTGTTCAACACCCACAGATCCCACCTGTGCTTTATACTGAAACTATCCAGCACACTCAAACCCTCGGTCACGATGACTTGTGACTTCGTGCTAGAACAGCCATCAACCCCAAGGGTTCCGTTTACCCAATTTGACTCACAAGGCTTAGGTCAACTCGTGGTATGTTGTTTTTTTTCAGACACTTTCGAAAGGTGCCGCGCCCTGGGATCGCTTCCTTGATAACATCAAGAAGTCAGCTTCCTGACAAATCGACCAATGATGAGATTCGAACCCAGGACTCATGGTCAGAAAGCGAACGTTTTAATCACGTGCTGAGTTGTTAGAACTATAACGTAGTACTGCTACCATTTATGGGTAGGAGCTGCCAGTCTTCACTTTCCACTTTCGATAGAGTTCGAAAGCGTCTCCGCGTCCTTGTGGGTGATGAATTATTTTCCACCCTACAGCCTCTTTCCTCACAGACGAAACGTCGCAAGCCTCTCACTGCTCTATCGTTATTTCTTTAATTCCACCAGTCCTAACCTTCACGGTAAAGACCCACCATGCTGTGCACATTGTAATGAACCACCGTCATTCTCTTGTATTAGTGAGATGTAAGTTCCACGAGCAGCATCTTACGATAAACTCCTGCTCTGTGGAACCGACTACCAAGAGGGTGCTTTCCCGATCACTATAATCTTAGACCTGTTCAAGTCTAAGATTAACCGTTATCTTTCCCACATATCCGTATAAACTGTACCTCTAACGCTCTACCTTGACTGACTCCCGTGCCTTGTACAGCGTGAACAACACTATAAAAGTATAATATTTTCAACTCTTACACACTCCCTGCCTTAACAAGCGTTGAATATTCGTTTGCTTTTGAGAACTTTTATTGAATAAAATTAGTTTGTTGGACAAGTAGATACTGTTTTAGTGTGCCTATTTTCAACTGAAAAATGTTTTGAATATAAAGTTCATGAGCAATATATTGATTGTCCCGACATTTCACTGCACACATCTAAGTCAGCTCATATCTATCAATTTATAATGAATGTTGTTGCATCAGTCTAAGTAGGGCAGGCCTCGAATATCTTCCACACACACACACACACACACACGCACACGCGCATGCGCACAGAAATTATTCATGACACGTTTTGCGGCATTTATATAACGATTACTGCAAAAGAGGCTTGACGTTGCCACATCTGCGCAAGAGAACGTAATTTCCCCAGTCAGTTATGTGTCATGCGTGATACACGCTTAGGCGATCATCTTTCGATACATGACTGACAAGGCAGATTTTTCCCGCAGTTGGTTGCCAGTTCTTTTTGCGGTAGACTAGTTGCCATCCAAGTCTAGAGAATCCAGTCTGTCCTGCAATTTACCCATAGCTGAGGGGAGAAGAAGATGATTAATACCTTTCCCAGGTGTATTAGCACGTAAGTGAATGTAATGGACTCGACTGGAATTCGAACTCGGCTCTTTGATTTCTCAATCCGAGCCGCTATCCACCGTGCCTCCTTTAAAGGACTAAAAGTGACACCCGCTTGATTGCTCAAGCGTTTGCATTTGTCGAAATAGAGTCGCAGCAATTATCTATCTATTAATCTATTTCTATTGTTAATTTCCATGGCTGTGTTTTCATTATCTATCTATCTATCTATCTATCTATCTATCTATCTATCTATCTATCCTAGTCTCTTTGCATCTATCTATCTATCTATCTATCTATCTATCTATCTATCTCAATTTGTTTACATCTATCTATATCAGCCTGTTCACAACTATCCATATATCTATCTGAGTCTGTTCCCATTTATTGATATATGTCAGTCTGTTCACATCTATTTCAATCTGTTAAAATCTATCTATCTATCTATCTATCTATCTATCTATCTATCTATCTATCTATCTATCTATCTATCCCAGTATGTTCACATCTCTCTATCTAACTATTTATCTATCTTACTCTGTTCATATCTCTCTATCTCAGTCTGTTCACATTTAACTATATATATATATATATATATATATATATGCATATCTATTCATGTCAGTCTGTTCACATCTATCTATCTATCTATCTATCTATCTATCTATCTATCTATCTATCTATCTATCTATCTCAGTCTGTTCACATCTATCTATCTCAGTCTGTTCACATCTATCTATCTATCTATCTATCTATCTATCTCAGTCTGTTCACGTCTATCTATCTATCTATCTATCTATCTCAGTCTGTTCAAATCCATCTATCTCAGTTTGATCACATCCATTTATATATCTATCTCAGTCTATTGCTATCTACTTATTTTGTGAGATTGAGATTTTGATAAAGATTCAATAGAAATAGAGCATGCAATGGCAAAGATCATAGCCTGACGAACCAAAACATTATAACCAGCTACACATGAAAAGAATGACATCTACTGTCTCGTAACTACTACGCTTATCTGTCATATCAACCATACCATAAGCAGATAAGTGACTTAATGTTAATATACTTCAGTTATGGCCAAAGAAAATTTGTGTGACTCTCTAATGTATTTCCCGAACGACACAGTTTGTGGGATGGTCACGACCAGTTGTAGTAAATAGCTATTGGCTGTGGTCTGATGAGGAAAAATCCCCAACCACCACTAAATCTTCAAGCGGACAAATTTTATGAATACGAGAAAGGAACGAAAACTTTCCCGTTAAGTACGAACCAGCAGAAGGGAAGATGTGGAACTGGATTAATCAAGGTGGAGAAAGGTATAACACACAGCAAGTCGATCCTTGTTATATATGGGGCTGAGTAGACATGAACCCGCCTCTTGTCTCCCCATCTATAGGTTAATCCGTACCTGTCCTATGGGCATTTGCGCGTAAGTGGATATAACGAACCCAACTGGAATTGAAACTCGGATTTCCGATTAACAATTCCGAGCCATTATCCATTACACCGCCCGCACATCTAAACTTACAGCACTTGGTATTCCCAAGGAGTCACCCATCTAGGTACTGACCAGACTCAACGTTGCTTAACTTCGGTGATCTACGGGAACCAGTGTTTCAGCGAGATGCGACCGTAAGACAGTACAGAGAAGAAAGAGGCTGGAAATCGATGGACAATGTATGTGTGGGGTATTATCGATCCCTCTTAAAACAGACCACATGGGTACCAAATAAAAGAGCCGTCTGCAGTAGTTATGCCGGTGAGGAATAAAGTTGAAAAATTCCCACCGGCATGATTATTCAAAGATTGCTAATACAAAGTCCTTGACATGGCCTGAACATTGCGTTCAAACATAAAATCGACTGTCGCCACTCGGTGTTGATCCCAGTGTCTCCTCTTATATTTGCACACGCTCTGTCTCTGCTAGTGAGCACTTTTACAAAATTCCTAGAAGGGATTGCAGAGAATATAAATAAATCAAAAGGACATGCCTGTGTATCTGATCAGTATTTTATTGATTGGTTGATTCGTTTTTTACCGCTTATCAACCCTTTGCAGGTTATTTAAAGCAAGAAAGAATTTGCTGATACAAGTCTTACTAATTAACCCATAGCTGGTGGCAGGGAGAAAAGGTGGATTCATACCTTTACAAAGGGTGATTGAGTGTAGGTGTATATAATGAACCCAACGGAAATTGGAACTCTGCTCTCCGATTAACAATTCTGAGCCATTATCCATTACACCACCTGCACATCCAAGTTTACACCACCTGGTATTCTCAAGCGGTTACCCGTCTAGGTACTGACCAGGCTCAACGTTGCTTAACTTCGATGATCGTATGAGAACCGGTGTTTCAGTGAGATGTGACCGTAAGCCAGTACAGACGTGAAAGAGGCTGGAAATCGATGGACAATGTATGTGTGGGGTATTATTGACCCCTCTTAAAACTGACCACATGGGTACCAAATAAAAGAGCCGTCAGCAGTAGTTATGACGGTGGAGAATAAAGTTAAAAAAATTACCACCGGTTATTTAAAGTAAAAACTATTTTTAAATAGTAATTTTTTTTTTTTAGATAATAATGGTTTAGTGATAAAAAATCTCAATAAGTAACCCATAGCTGGAGGGAGAAGATGTGGATTCCTACCTTTCCCAAGGGTACTTGCGCGTAAGTGAATATAACGAACCCAACTGAAATTGGAGCTCGGATCTCCGATTAACAATTCCGAGCCATTATCCATTACACCACCCGCACATCCAAGCTTACAACACCTGTTGTTCCCAAGCGGTTACTCATCTATATACTGACTAGGCTTGACGTTACTTAACTTCTATGATCAAACGGGAATCAGTGTTTCACAGTGTTGTGGTCTTAAATCGTGGAAGAGAATGAGAAGTCTTTATTGAGAAGAAAGGACAATAAAAGAACAGGATTCAGAAATACAGACGATTGCGATTGGCGTTGCATTTAAATTTTCAAAGAATTTAGGTGGTAGAGAATCAAGAAATCGGAAGGACGTACCACAGGCGAGAAGTGCGAGAAAAGGAACTATTAGAATAGAAGAAACGGTTGCATCTAGCTATTTCAACACTAAAACGATGAGACCTAATTGCCAATCTAGTATGACGATTAAATCCATGTGGTCGAGTCACCAAAAAGAAGAGCGATAGGGGAGAAGGACGGTCTTCTTCTGTTTTAACTTTAAACTTAGCTAGCCACGAACACTGACCCAAATATACAACAATATTCCTTACACCAAAACAACGCATTCTGACTTTCTTTTCTTACTGCATTCACCATAACACCACATGGTCTCTATGAAAGTCCTAAATAGTCCCCATATGTACAATTCATTGTCTGGGGGTGGAGGGGAATAAAACAACAATTTAAAATCTAGCCTCAATGGGTATTTACAATATGAGCACAATCTATTTACATGAAACTAAACAAAATAATGTTAGTAATAAAAAAAAAAACCAGAATCCTTAAATATGGCAGAAACATCAGTTAACTGGACAAAATCAATACAGGACTCTAATAATATAAAACATTCATTCATCCCAAGCACTCACACAAGCACACACTCATTCAGACACAACAACAAATACGAAAAAACACACCTAAAATGAAAGGCGCCCACATTCAGCAGAGAACTGACATCATGACCACCTAACGAGGGAGAGGATGGGGGATTAAACCAAAGAAAATGGGGACAGAAATAAAAGGCGCCAATGAGTATACATCCCCTAGCTAAGTCAAGTGGAATGAAGAAACAAAAGCAACAAAAACAACCAAACGGAAGAGCACATAAGAATAACTGCTATGAAAATATTTATAGAAAAAACAGGAAAAAGCCATGGTCGTGGGAAAATGACTGAAGTCGACATGCCACAGATCAGGACCAATAATATTACAGACCCATCCTTTGATTTTGTCGAGGGTCTTGAGATATATAACAGGAGCACCAGACCAGATAAGGCAGGTATATTCAATGCACAGACGAAAGTGAGATTTATAAATATTTAATATGGATTCAGACGAGAAACATTGTCTGGCACGACACAGTAAACCAGCTTTGTTCACATCCATTTACACACACACACACACACACACACACACACACATATATATATATATATATATATATATATATATATATATATATATATATATATATATATATGCATATCTTCTTGTGTCTCTTAATTCCTTGGGGAAATATAGGGCTGCAAAAACACCTCTCCAACGGACGCGGTTCCGGGCGATCCTCTTCACCTGGGCCCATGTCGTGCCGGCTGCTTTCACGTCTACGTCAACACCTCTGCGCCAAGTCTGTCTTGGTCGACCGACTTCTCGCCACCCTTGTGTTTTCCAGTCAAGGGCATGCCTGGTGACACTAGAAGCAGGTATGCGGAGTGTGTGTCCGATCCATTGTTTCTTGATGTCAATCTCGATTGGGGCTTGTCCAGTCTTGTCCCACAGTTGTTACTTGGAGACAACTTCCGGTCACCTGATACTGAGGATGTTCCAAAGATATCGGTTGGTAAATGTCTGAAGTTTGTGGGTGTTTGTCTTGGTTACCCGCCAGGTTTCTGAGCCGTAAATTAGGACCGACTTGACGTTGGTGTTGAAGATCCAGATATTGCTGTAAAGTGAGGAGGGGTCTGTTGATCGCTAGATTGGCTACAGTGTGTTGGAAGCGTGTCGGGCTTTGTTGATTTGGTACTTTATGTCTTCATCTGCCTCACCGCCATATTTACTGACGACGCTTCGCAGGTAGACAAACTTATCGACTTCATTGATGTCATCTTGGTGTAGTCGCAGTCTATTTCTATCTACTTATTTTGTGGAATTGAGATTTTATCACAGCTTTATTTATACGTATTCTACATATATGCTGTAACCTAGAAAAGGTTACTGAATGAGGAATAAACGGAGGTTGGAAATGAAATGGTAATCTTTATAACATCAACAAAATACAATACTCGCCAGCGGCGTGAGTTAGGTAAACCACTGCTAGTGGTGGACTACTTAGGTAGCATATTACCCTCACTTGCAATAGTGTCCAACGTATTTATGAGGATTGGGACATACCCATTAGTGTTCATTGGCACGTTATATAACAATAGATAATGAAGAGACTTGAGACAGATGTATATGTAGCTAGATAGATAACGAAGACATGGAGATAGATAGATAGATAGATAGATAGATAGATAGATAGATAGATAGATAGATAGATGTTGTAACTTAGAAAGGGATACAGAGTAAGGAGTAACCAAAACTGAGGTTGGAAATGTAATCTTTACATCATCAACAAAAAACCATACTCGCCAGCAGCGTGAAGTAGGTAAACCACTGCTAGTGGTTGACTACTTAGACAGCATATTATTACCACTTACAATAGTGCCCAATAGTGTATGAGGATTGGGACACACCCATTAGTATCCATAGGTACGATATATAACAATATATAACATGGAAATTATTTGTTGGTAGGATAAGAGTTAGAATATTGCCGTGATATGGGACACAAGTATTGGTAATAGCAATATAGCCTTTTCCCTATAAGGAAACATTTGGCATCCATTGACCGAGGAGCTAGTATTGGTTTCGGTTGAAGTTTATAAAATCTTTCTCTTAAAACAATTTTCCAGGAAAATGGGTTTCTCAATTCTAGTGGCTGTTATCGCTCTTTCTAGTATTGATGGACCGTTTCCTTTCTAACCTTTTGTTTGAAGTAGTGTGGAATGTCAACATCTTGATTATGTCATTATTTTTGCTTTGGCTTACATGTGCTATCTACCGGGTGTAACAGAAAAAAATGGCCAATCGTTAAATTAAATTTTAAACCGTTGTATCTTAGAAATGATTAAAGATATCTTACTGGATTTCTCCGAAGTTTGTATAACCCTATTGGACTCTACTTTGAACAATAAGAATGTATTTAGCTCTAAGTTAAAATGATGATCCATCTTGTTTTTGTGACCTCTTGATCCAGTTTCCTTTCTATTGTTCCCTCTTTTTGCAACTTATTCATCGTACTCTAGATAGTTTTTGAATGGTCTTTGAAGATGGAAGCCGAAGTATGAATGCTGGTATCATTACTGAAGGCCTGAATGATCTTTTTCCTCTCACCATTGCTCAGTTGGGAAGATATAATGGGGCTGACACAAAACGATTTTTACCTGTTCTCTTTCTAGTTGAATAACTCAAAGGTTTTTTCAGTGATTCTTATGACAAATGATTTCAAGATGGCTAAACGCCTTATCTGAAAACCTAGCAAAAAGAAACTCAGTTTAGAAATTTTTTTTTTTAGATATTAAGCATTCGGTGAGATGAACAATTATCCAATGCTATTATACGATTTGAACAATTTTCACTGTTTTCTGTTATAATTCTTTGTTTGTGATTATATAGCGCCAATCCACAATGTTCAAAGAAGGATGATCTTTGCTTGCTCAAAGCCTTTTTCATCCTTTTGACCTTGGGAAGCGGTTGTATACAGCTGACAGTTTAGATATTTCTGAACGGGTTTGGCGTCATGCAAGACATTTATACGAAAGTTTTCAGTATCTGTCTATATTTCTGAGATGAGGTATTATGTAAACTATTTACATTATTCGGACTATTGTCCTCATCTTTGTCGCCATATTTATTACAACGTTTCGGCCTTTTAGTATCTGTCTATATTTCTGTGATAAGGTATTATGTACACTATTTACATTATTCGGACAATTGTCCTCATCTTTGTCACCATATTCATTACAACGTTTCGGCCGTTGGAATGTCGAACTGAGGTAGACTGTTCTAGTTCCACGTGCCATGTTTAATGGATGTCAGTTATCTCCTGTTAATTTTCCTCTGAAAGTTCTCCCCTGCCTTAACCGAGTATTGAACTCACACTCTTTGGGTCCTGTCACTGGATCTAACCAACGCTTTTTTCCACTGTGCCATGTGTCCTTGATATAGACAGACACACGATCATCTGGTGAACACTAGCTATTGCTCTTAAGTCGACTGCATGTAATGCTATAATGTGCTTTTCAACTATTTGTTAATGCGTAAATCGTGCAATAAACTATTTAAAAATATCAACCAATTAAAAAATTTAATTATGTCATTCTGTATTTACATTTGGTATCTACTGCCTGTAATATACTGATTTTCCAAGCGTAGCTCAAGGCCGAAATTATGGCGCATCCAGTAAAGATCGAAATCACCACTCAGTCGTAATGGTTCTAGCGAAACAAGCTTGCTAACCATTACACCATTTATTAAGCATAGGTTAGATGCGGCACAAGGCCAAAGGTATGGGTCATCCAGTGAGAATCGAACGCACTATTCTATCGTAATTGATCGAGTGAGACAG